CTCACCTGCCCCGCCCTCACCTGCCCCCCGCCTTCCCCCCTCACCTGCCTCTTCACCTTTCCACTTACCTGCTCACCTCCTGACACCCCTGCAGTGCATTTATTGCTCCATTTTCAGAGCTGAGGACCAGGTGCCAGGGGGTGCAATGAACCTGTACCTCACACATACTCCTTCAGAACCCAGGCTTATTTCCAATATATGTGTTAAAGAAAAGCAGAATGTGTCCCCCAGGTGAGACCCTCAGTACGGAATGTGGCCTTAGGACGGTGGGGAAAGTCAGCCCCAGCCTGGCCCTCTAGGTGGTGGATGGAGGTAGTGCTTCCCACCAGAAGGAGGTGGCGCCATCCTCATCTCAAGGCCTTCCACCTGCCTGGCTCTCAGGCAGCCCACAGGAGGGCACCCCTCCGGGCAGCCTGCAGCACCTGGTGCCCCTGTGCTGCCCCCTGACTTTCCGGGGACAGTCATGGCACTCCTGTGAGTGACAGTGCACTGTATCCATAAGCTTTGCTGAGGTGGGGGAGGCCTGCCCTGCTCTGAGGTCTGCATTTGGATAAAAGATAGGGAAGCAGCATCGGGGACTTCATTTGCCTGACGTGCCAGTGTGCTGGATGGTCTAGAGCTGAGCTGGCCTGCAAGGCAGGCCCGGCCAGCATGGCTGTTACTGACGTTACCTTGATGAGGTTAAATAGAACATTCAGCTCCTCAGTGGCCCGATGCGGCCGTGACTGTGGCTTGGTCGGTGCAGGTGAGAGCGCAGTGTCCTTGCAGAGGGCCCTCTGGGACTCATTCCCTGGGGGACTCAGCTCAGCTTCCCTGGGCTGTGCCCTCCCGAGCACCTTAAGGAGGGAGTGTGTGGCAGGCCTTAGGGTTCCACATTCAGTCTTTCAGTGGGGAAGGTGGGTTTAGCAATAGGAAGTGGAGACCTGGCTATTAATTCAGCAGAGCCCGGAGTGTAGGTAGCATCATTGCCCAGAGCAGAAGTGGGGTGTCCCACTGGAGACAAGGTCCCCCCTCCCACCGGGACTCTGTACATGATCCTGAGGCCCAACAGAGGGGAGCAAGAGACACCTCTGACCTTGAACTGGGGCTGGGAAGTAGACGGGGCTGTTGAGCTGGCTGGGCGGGGAACAGGACAGCAGGCGGAGGTCTGAGTGCCTGAGCCTGCAGGGTGCGCATGCCTGCCATGGCCAGGATGGAAAGCTGGGCCCCAGGACCTCGGGGGCAGGGCGATTGGGGGAGGGGAGGTGGGCAGGCTTCATAGCTCGCACAGCAGGGAGGCCTTGCCAGGACGACAGTGTTTTGTTAGCTCAGAGCGAAGGCCCCGGAGAAGGCCATTCCTGCTGCTGCATGAGGTCTGCCGGAGGCCGTCCCTGGGTCCTGGATGCTTGTGGGTACACACTAGATGCCACCAAGGGTAGAGAGCCAGGACGACGGGGCTTCTGGTCACCATGTGGCACTCTCAGGCTGGGTGGTGCAGTGCCGGGAGTGGGCAGAGAAGGTGTGGGTCTGTGGAAGTTCTGTGGCCTTGGGGGTGTCACCCCATCCTGGTAATAAGTCTCCATTGTAAAGGGAGGCTGCTTGGCACATGGCTGTCCTGTGGTTGGTTCCGGGCCAGAAGGTGAGCTTCATGGCTGGGCTTTGGTTGACTGTGTCTGCCCTGTGCTTTAGCAGCTCAGGGAGCCTGGCCTTCCATCTCAAGAAAGCATTACAGTGCTGGTACCCCACCCCATAGAGAATGCTGGTCACATGCTGGTCCCCTGTGCTGGTGCACAGCTGTGTCCTGTGCTGGCATGCCCTGGTACTGTCCTTCAGAGTAATCTGTGCCACACATATTCCCACTGAAACCTCTGCAGCCTTTGCTTAAGAAGACTAAGGCCTCTGAAGATGGAATAGAAACTGCTGTGTCCCTGAGAAGCAGAGGCTGGGCTTGGTGGCGAGGGGAGGCCCTGGAACCTGCATTTCTCCAGGCTCCCAGGTGACTCTGACACTGGTGCTGGCAGTGGGGGTTCCCTGGGGACCTGCAGTGTTACCATCAGGCAGGAGGGGGCCCCAGTGCCAAAGGCAGCTCCTTTCGTCCCTGTGCTTGTTGACGACAGGAAGTCAAATGTGGTTTTTAGTTACAACAAAAAACTGTTCTGGAAACCAGCTTGGTTTCTGCTCATCACTTGTCATCTGAACAGCAGAGAAAGAGACACGTGTGTGGAAGGGGTAGTGTGTTTAGTGTATTTTTGCCATCAGAAATTCGTGTTTTTTCCCTCACATTACATTAATATGGCTGCCTGCCGATTTTTTCTTTGTAAAAACTACATTTTGTGGCTTTTTCTGATTATAAACTTACCTACTTTTGGTAGGAAATTTGAAAAATACAGAGGAGCATAACAAAAAATAAAAATTATTATTGATATCTTAAAGCTAACCACTGTTAACTTTTAAAAATATAATGCATTAAATTTAATTTTACTTGGAATTAACAGAATTTTAAAAATGAAGTGAAACTCTGTTCATGCTGAACTTCAGATAAATTTCCCTTCCAAGCTTGTGACGTTAGTTCCTAAAATATTCTGGTGACGTTGCAAAAAGGTTACAAAAGGTTATGAAAAATACTGAAATTGGTATATTTTTATTTACATGTTTCCTGAAATGTAGGCTTCAATGAAGTCAGTAAACCTTTGACTGTCTTACAGTTGTCTAAACAGACATTAAAAGCTTAATTTTTAATTTAAAAATGTTTAAAAGTCAAACCTATTTTTAGGATGATTTGTTAAGAGAAATTAACAAGGAAAGGTCCATCACTAAGAATTAACACCCTAAAGAGGCCAGTCATCTTCAGGGAAGAGAACAAATGGCCCAGCAGTGCTGAGCTGACCAGCTCTTTGAGAGCCTCATCGGGTCAGAGAGCTGTGGAGAGGACCGCCCGGGGAGGGGGTCTGGGGTTTGCTCCGCGCAGCTGAAGGCGGGGAGTGGGAGAACGGGTGCTCTCCTCTTCTGCCTGCTCTGCCTGGAGGGCCCCGCGAGGCTGTTTCTTCTCACTGCTGCGTGCCCATTCTGCAGGCCAGGAGACCAAGAGCTTGGTGTGCAGGGTGAGGGGCTAAACCCAGATGTGACTAATTCGAAACACCACGGTCGCCTTTTCCTCATTCAGGAAGGACTGTTTGGCAGGGGCTAAGGGAGACGCAGTGAGGACTCTGAGACAGGCCCCGCCCACAGTGGAGGAGGGGCAGAGACAGCCTGGGGCACTGGACAGGGCACCAACCCGAGGGTAAACTGGGCGAGCAGAGGGGCACCGGGGAGCACTGGAAGGTGGCTGAACTGACCGAGGGGAGGCGTGGGCTGCGTGCTGGGAGGAGTTGAGGAGACCCCGAGGGAGGCTGCTGCTGGGTTCGGAGGGTGATGGGTGACTCAGATAGTGGTGGTGATGGCCAGGGTGACATGAACGGAAAGAACCCATGGACTAGCAGGCTTGTGAGAAGAACCAAAAGTTGGCGCATAAAATTCGTCTGTATAGAAATAATGCCTGGGGCATGCCAGGCCTGCTCGAGGGGAGTGGGGGTAACTGCCATGTGCGAGACCTACACCAGGAGCCAGACAGCCTGACCCAGCCCACTGCTGCTTCTCATGCAGGGTGGGAGGGGAGGTGGGCCATGCCTGACACAGGTGGGGAACTTCCAGACGCAGAAGCTGGAGGAGGGGCAGGGGTGAGCAGGGCCTGATGATACCAGGCACTGAGCAGGCCCCAGGACACATGGTCACAGGAAGGCTAATGAAACTATCCCCACAGGTTGACAAGAATTGCCTGCCAGGTTCTGGACAGAAAGATACTAGTAATTAATCAGGCTGATATCAGGCTGCTCTCTGGCCCAAGATGTTTTTCAGACCCCAATTCCAGCAACTGGTTTGGAGATCCCCCCCACAGAGGAATGGGATTAGCACAAAAGTACAGCTTTTTCCTCTCTGTGCTGTGACTTCACCCTGTCCTTTCCAGCAATCGATCTCCACACTTTGGCCACTCCAGAGCTGTTAAAAACCTAGGCCCCAGGCTTCTTGGGGAGATGGATCTGAGTTTCCTCCATCTCCTTGTCTGGTGATCCTGCCATCACCCTGCTTTTCTGCTGCAGCCCAGTGTCTCCATTCATCGACTGGCTGTGTGCATGGGGCATAGACCTATTGGGGTACCTGAGGACCAGTGTGCGCTGGGGTGCAGATGTAAAGCTGCCGGGCGGGGGGAGGTGGCGGGGCTTTTGCCCAAGGCAGCAGAGTGCTGCAACTTCTGACAGCTGCTGGGCATGCCCTGGGCAGGGGACATTCCTGTCCTCCCAGCACTGGCCTGATGTCAGAGCTGGCACTAAGCCATTCTGAGAAGAGAGAAAATATGAGCAGGAATTGCTGTGCTGGCACCAGGCAGACCCTTCCCACCTGCCCTTAGTAGGAAAAGGGGTGGGCACAGTAGGGGCTGGCATTGCCCACAGCCTCCCTATTTCAGGAGCGTTCTAGGTATGGCTGGGAGGTTGGGAAGCCCCTGCTTGTGAAACTCTCCTTGAGATGGGGACCTGGGTGCCAAGAGCCAGACGCAGATGGTCCCTGCTAGTGTCCCTCTCTGTGTCACCTGAGGGGGTGCCCTTTCTGTGGGCCGGTGCTGAGCTGGGTGGGGAGACCCTTTGAGAGGGGCCCCATCAGCCTCTCTCACCCAGAGCATAAGGTCTGCATGGCTGTGCCTGAGCACCGGGGTTTTGGGGGGGTGCCAGCCCAACTCAAGGGTGCTGGTGTCCACTCTGCCCACCTGGAGATGCTTCACTCCGAGCCCTCTCATGTGACATCATCAAAATTCAGTGAGCCTGGGTCCTTGGGACTGCATCTGCCTGCTTTGCTCTCGGGTTTCTGCATGATGGCTAATGGCAGAGCCCATCTTTTGAGGGCACATGTGCCCCTGGCACAGGTAGGACACTGAGCTCTCCCAGGATCAGTCCTGAGTTTAGCCCACTAGGACACACCTGGACTTTCAATTCCAGCTCTGCCTCTCACTGGCTGTGTGATCTCAGGCAAGCTGCCTACCCTCTCTGAGCCTCGTGTCCTCACCTGTAAAATGGAGATGCTAATGACAGTGAGAATATATGAGGCAACACACACAAAGCACTTATCAATAAATGATGTGCAATACTGTAATCCTTATCAAATATCATATCAAAATGCACGTGGCCACAGCAGGGGTCCCAGGGCAAATGAATGCCCCCATTGGGAAAAGCAACTCTTGCCACGTGGAGGGTGGCTCAGCCTGCGGCAGCTCCCAGTGCTCCCAGGAGGCAGGATGGCCCTGGGCTGCAGGTGGTCTCTCTGGTACGGGGAATTAAGGACCTTGCAGAGGGAAGCTGAGGGGGCTCCCTGACCCCAGGGCCCCTGCCCAGGCAGATGGGCCGTTGCAGCTAGAGCGGAGGGGCGGAGGGTGACATGGCAGCCGCAGAGCTTCCCAGAAGAGATGCCTGTCAGGTTGAGAAAGCAGCAGCCCATTTGAAAAGGGTGGCGGAAGCCAGTGTGGCAATTTCCTAGGTTCTGAAAGCCTCAGGCAGGAAAGTTGCCCTGAGGGGCTCAGCGCTGCGGTCTGTGCAGTTCAGTGTGTGGGCGTGGACAGGCCAGATGCTCAGATGGCATCACCCCTGGGGTGCCTGTTGCTTTCCCCACCCCCGGGGTGTCGGGGTCGGTGCAGGATGCAGGCTTGTGTCTGGGGCCTAGGTTCCTATCTCTTTTTCGCCGCTCGTTTGGGGGTCTCCCAGAGCCCTCCCTGTACAACCTAAGACTGAAGGCCCTTGCTGGCAGCACCAGAAACGATCACAGTGCCTCGGCAGGGTGTTGGGGGCTGTCACCAGCACAGCAGCAGAAGGGCCTGCACTGGACAGAGCAGCGGGCCCAGGCCGGCGGAGAGCACCCACGCCTGGTATACCCCCATGCCTGTGCCTTCCCCGAGCCACCTCTGTTCAGCTTCCCCAGGGTAGGAGATGGGTACACTTATCTTCCCATTTCATGGATGGTGGGACTGAGGCTGAGGGCCTGCTCCCTGTGTGTGAGCATGGGCTCGGGTGGTTCAGCCTGGGGATTGGTGGCCGACAGCAAGACTGCTGGGAACGGAGGGGAAGGGCTTCTTGCAGCATCACACACCAGCGAGGGGCTGGCAACACGACCCAGGAAAGCTATGCTGCCAGGCGCCCAACACGACAGCTCCCACACCACTCTGCTAGTTCCTAGCCCGCTCTGTGAGATGAGCAGAGCTCTGAAACCCCTCAGCAGTCTGTAGGAATAATTAGATCCCAGGACACGCTAGGACAGTCGGCTCCATGCCCCTCCAGGAGAGCCTTTTCTGAGGCGTGAGAAGGAGCCGCTTCTCTGGGGTGAATGTCCTGCTCTTCCTGGCTTCTCCCTTGGACCTTGGAGACTTGAAGGGTCAGGGCACAGGACAGCAGTGCGTGGGCAGCGCTGCATCAGGGCAGGAGGAGAGGCCTCTGTGAGGCTGGGAAGCAGGTGGAGGGCCCCACGCGTGAGCTAAGAAGAAGGCTCCCAAGTTGGAGGCAGGGCCGGGTGTGCTGTCCCCAGCCTTCTGCTGGCCATGGATCAGCTCCACGTTCACTGAGCATCACCCAGAGCTGGGGGTGGTGGCGCGTGCCAACAGTGAGAGCAGAAGCTGCCCCGCTGCCCCTCCCCCAGCCTGCCCTGTCCCCTTGGCCACTCAGAGGAGGCACGGGAGGGGCTGCAGGAGTCCTGAGGTGGGGCAGGATGCAGGCTTGTGTCTGGGTCCCAGATTCCTAACACTTTTTTCCCCACTAGACTGGGGACCTCCTAGTAACTTCTCTGTACAGCAGAAGACTGAAGGCCCTTGCCGGAAGCCCCAGAAATGATCACAGCACCGGGGCAGGGTGTTGGGGGCTGTCACCAGCACAGTGGCAGAAGGGCCTGCACTGCAGAAGTGTAGCACCCACCCTAGGCCGGGCCTGGGAGCCCGTCACAGTGTCCCCCAGCGTCACTGAGTCCTCAGCATCCTGATTCACCAGGAGGAGGTGTGACCCCTCCACAGACCCTTGGGGTGCTCTGGGGCCATCCCCTTGTCAGCAGTCCTGCTGCATACCGCCCACCTGGGCCCCTTTGGCCAGGCTCAGACCCCTTCCATCCCCGTCTGCTGGGTGGAGGTCGTGTGACTTGAGCCGCTCGCCTGAGCCCCCTGGTGCCAGCTTCCTGGTTGGTTAAATGAGGTGGGGGCCTCCCAGGTCCCTATCGGTATCCTGGTCTGACTCCTGTGCTGGGGAGGGCACAGTCCAGTTCCCTTTGGGGAACGGCAGGCGGTCCCTGGCTGTGTGACTTGGGCAATTCACTTAGCCTGGCTGTGCGTTAGTTTCCCAGTGCGCAGGCAGTGGCTTCCTCCCTGTCTTCCCCCTACACTCCCTGAGCGCTGACCCTCAGGATGTGGATTGCAGGAAGGGCGAAAGAGTCTGATTGTTAGGGTCTCTGGGGCCAAGTCACAGGACAGCAGCCGGTAGGAAGGAAGGACAAACCATCAGATAGAAGCAGCCAACCGCAGGCATGTGGCTGCCTTGTCGCCGCCATCCCGCAGAGGGGCTGCAGGAGACCTGCCTTGCTGAGACCTTTCTCAGACCTCTGTGAAGAGCCAGAGAATGGAAGACGCTTCCCTTGCCCCCCGCCTACTGGGGCAGCCCCCACACCCTTCATCCCTGTAGCCTGCTGCCCCAGAGGTTGCTGCAGCTGCATGGAGCCCTCACCCCTCTCACCACTCCCAGTGCCTCTCACCACCCCATGGTCTTGTGGGGGCTCCAAGCCAGGAAAGTGTCCTGGGGAAGACCCAAGGTGCTAGCGGTCAATCTCAGGGACAAACCCCGGGGGAGCGGCCAAGGGAGACTGTCACTTACCTGGGGAAGGACGCCCAGTGGCACTGAAGAACAGGCAGCAGCAGACCAGTAGAGTTCCAGCCGCCCGCATGGCTGCCCAGGTGGGGGCAGTGCGGGGCAGTGGTGTGGGTGGCTGTGCGAATTCTTCTCAGGCAGTTGGGTGCAGTGGTTTGTACCCGTGCAGAGACTTCTCCAGCAGCACGGGGCAGTGGGCTGTCACAGCCCAGGGCAGGTGCTGGGGCCACAGTGTGGAACCCCGCCCTTCAAACCACCCTGAGCAAGGGGCAGGGGCGGGGCTAGGGGGCTGCCTGCTTGTTGCTGGGGAGGGGGGTGGTTTGCTGCTGAATCATTTTGTCCAGAAGCTCTTCACCTTCAGTTCTATCAGCCACAAAGGCAACCGCTTCCTTTATAAAAGTTTCCAAGCAGCCGTCATTTGCTGGGGGAGGAGGAAGAGAAATGAGACCCGTGAGCAAATCCTGGTGCAACGTTCTACCCCTGAGCCACACACAAAAGAGATGTTGCGTGGAAAAAATCAGCAGGAAATTTCAGGAGCAGAATCACTTGACTTCCTTCTCCAAACCGTATACCCCTTCTGCCCAAACTTCTGGTATTCCGAGTGGCCTCGGGCAGGAGGCTCTGTGTCCCTGTGGGGTGAGTGGGCATCTGGCTGTGGCAACTCCATGGGAAGGCGGGGTCCAGTCTGCAGCTTCCCAGGATGAACCTCTTGGTGCATGTGCTTCCTCTGCCTCCGGTGATTTCTGCACCTGGAAAACAGGTGAGCAGTGTTTGCGGATGAAGCAACTGATCACTTTGAATCTTTGGCTCAAATCCTACAAAAGAGGAGAAAGAATGCAGAGGTTTTGGCTTCCTGGCCGTGCATTCATTTCCATGCTCGGCCCAGGGTTGGGGTGGGGCCTTGGAGCCAGATGGCCTGTATCAGAACCCTTGTTCTGTCTCCCAACACCTGGGTGACGTTAGGCGAGGAACAGTCTCTCCCAACCTCAGTTTCCCCGAGAGGTTGTGGTGAAGATTTGCAGACTTCCTCGGTGTAAATGCTCAGGGTTTGGAATAGAGCCAGCAGTTATGGCTTCAGCTTCAGGCAAGTTCCTGCACCCCCTTCTGAACTGGGCAGTGTAGGCAGTGGGAAGGAGAGGAAGACACCTGGGCCTTGAAGCTCACGATGAGAGGAGCTGCGTGCCCGGCCATCGGAGTCAGAACCTTCATTTTAATGCCGTCCCAGGGAAGCTGTGCCCCAGGTTGGTCCTGCTGGGTCATACCAGATTTCAGGCAGGGAGATCTGGTTTTGCAGGACTGAACAAGCCACATAACCTCTCAGGGCCTCTCAGGTCTTTGGCTACTTGGAGGTTTGTTGTAAGGACTGTTACCAGGAAAATGAATTTAGCACATGGTAGAAGGTGGCCTTCAGGAAAGGGCAGCTGCTACCACTGTCCCCCATCACTCTGTCTGCCCTGCTCTGCTGGTCCTGAGATTCCAATCCTCTGGCTTTTGGCCACTATGCTACCAGGGCTGTGGATGGTGACTCTTCTGCAGGCCTCTGCGCCCTGATTTCATGTGTCCCATCTGGGATTCACTCCTGCAGAGGGAGAGGCAAGACCTCAGGGGCCTCAGCATTGGTGACTTTGCCCATGACCAAACACAGGCAGGGAGACAGGTTTGACCTTCCAGGGAGCCAGGAGGGCAAGTTGTTGCCACTGATCGCTGCGGCTGGTCGTGTCATTTGTTGTTCTCACTTTCAGATGCACTGGGTGAAGCTCAGGTGGATGTGGGACTCGGCCTGGGCCCTTCCATCTGTGACTGTGAGTGATAGTCACTCACATTCTCTGGCCTTGCCATGCCCAGGCCTACCAGGCCAGCAAAGGCACATGGTGGCCCCGGTTAAGTAATGAAATGTCACAGTAGGGAGGGGCCGTTACAATAATATTGTCATGGGTTCTGAGGAAAAGTGTGCATGTGTACATGTTATGTATGTAGATGTGTGTAAATGTGTTTGTTTGTGTCTCTGTGTGTGTATGCACGTGTGTCCAGGAGTCTTTATCTAGTGTGAGTGTGTGTTAATATTTTCTGAATGTGTATGTGCTTATATGCATGTGCATGAGTCTGTACATATATGCTGTGATGGTTGATTTTATGTGTCAAATTGACTAAACCATAGGGTGGCCATGTATTCGGTTAAACATTATTTCTGGTGTGTCTAGGGGGCATTTCAGGATGGGATCATCACTGGAATTGGTGGACTCAGTGACACAGACTGCCCTCCCCCATGTGGGTGGGCCTCATCTATCCATTAAAGGCCTAAATAGAATAAGAGGCTGAGTAAGAAAGAATTCTGTCTTTCTGCCTGTCTTTGAGCTGGGACATCAGTCTTCTGCCTTTGGACTTGGACTGGAACTTGCACTCTTGACTATCCTGAATTTTGGACTTGTAGAAGAACTTACACCATTGGCTCCCCTGGTTCTCAGGCCTTCAGACTTATACTGGATCTTATACAGCTATCCTAGGTCTGGACTTCTGAGCCTCCACGATTGTGTGAACCAATTCTTTACAATACATGTATATATGTTTTTGTATATCTCTATCTCTGTCTTTCTATATCTTCTATTGGTTCTGTTTCTCTGGAGAACCCTGATTAACACAGATTTTGGTATCAGGAGTGGGGTTGTAAAGGAACAGAATTTTAAGGATTTGTTTTCTGAATTTGTTCTGGAATTTCTGGAATTGACTCTCTGATATAATTAAAGACTGTTAGTGACTCTGTTTCCAGTAGTAAAGAGAGCATTGATAGTTCTGGTGTGATCTGGCAGTAATGATATGAAAAATATCTTTATTGGATTTTGCTAATCAAGCAGTTGTAAGAAACAAGTTCTGGGTGATTGTGCATATGATACTTTCAAACATTTTTGTAAATCTAACAAATATAATGAGGTTGGCTGGTTGTTCCTAATGCCACTGGACAAAGTGGCGAAAGTAAAAGATGAACTCAGAGATTTGAATTCCCAGCTCAGGTGTGTTGCATAAAGTGACCTCAAAGCTGCTAGGTATGCCCTGAAGCCACATGGCCGAGACTGCTGAAAATCAAACACAGAATCTTATCTTTCAATTGGCTGAATGTAGGTTGCACTCCCAGCCTTGCTGAGGTTGACTGTTAAAGTGAGGGCATTGATTGGGGAAAAAAATGAGATCCTATAAGTTAGAATGGGGATTCTCCGGATTCTGATGAAGCTGGAGACATTGAGCCCTTAAATTCTAATGGGTCTTCTTTGCCAGTAGAGAGGCCTTCCTATCTTCCCTGAAAAGTACATCCCGCTCTCTCAGGAGTTAACTCTGCATTTCCTGAGGAAACTGATGGCCTCTCCCGAGGCAATCGTTATGGAAGGAAGACAATACTGATTCTTCTGAGGACCCACCCACTTTGCTCCTAGGCCTGCACCTAGGCTCAAGTCCCATCAGGTCCCTAAAGGTGAGGTACAGGGTATGACCCATGAAGAGATGTGCTAAACTCAAAAGAGCTACTCAGGTTTTCTAACCTATGTTGATAGAAATCTAGGGGACGTGTGAAAGTAGATATTGAGGGTTTTGTGTAATGTAATGGTGGAAGAAACATCAAGTTGGGTCATGTTGAATTTATTGATACAGGCTCACTAAGCAAAGATTCTGCATTTAATGTTGCAGCTCAGAGGGGTAGAAAGGGCTGTAGTCATTTGACTGTTGGTTGGCGGAAACATGGATCAAGTGATCACCTGTAGAAAGCCAACTGAAAATGCCTGACCTGCTTTGGTTTAATGTAGAGAAAGGAATTGAAAGGCTTTGGGAGATTGGAGTGTTAGAGTGAATTTGTTAATTAAGGGCTACTTGCCCACACTGGGAGGGCCCAGAAGACTCCCCTTTTACAACTACTGTGTGAAATAGATTTGTGAGGGGAGCCCCAGTGTCTTTCAAGACCTCTGTGGTCACTCCTCTCTTTGGGCCAGAATGGCAGCCACTCAGTTGGGAAACCTAAATGCAATGGGAGTAATTGGATCCTGGGGTGGCATGACCAAGAGCAGCATTCTTGGCACCACCGAAGACAAGGTGGGTATGGTTATGCTGATGGACAGCAGGGTCTAGGCAGCAATCAGGTAGTCTGACTCTCATATACCTATGACATCAGCTAGTTGATCATGGTGTTCCTGGAAGCGAAATGGACAGGAAGCCCATTAAATTCTTCCTTGATCTGTTTATACATACATATATATATATATATATATATATATATATATATATATATATATTTAAAGACGGGGTTTCACCATGTTGGTCAGGCTGGTCTTGAACTCCCGAACTCAGGTGATCCACCCGCCTTGGCCTCCAAAGTGCTTGGATTACAGGTGTGAGCCACTGCGCCCGACCCCTTGATCTGTATAGGCAGAGAAGTTCTACATCAAGTGAACAGAATTATAACCTGAATCATATAAACAGGGAATCACAATCTCTCAATCAGTTCAAAGACTTGAGCCAGTTTACAGACCCAGAATCCCTTGAATGAAGGGGAGGCCACCTTCCTTTGAGAAGGATCCCTAGTACGGTCCCAATCATATATACCGTGGATACTTCTCCCAGCCTTTCCCAAAGGGACCTACTGCTTTTTACCAGGGTGAATGTGCTTTGGGAAAAACGAAATCATCAGACCTTTCTGAGACTCCAGGATTCGGGCTCTGAGCTGATACTAATTCCAGGAGACCTGATATATCACTGTGGCCCTCCAGTCAGGGAAGGGGCTTATGGAGATTAGGGGATCAGTGGAGTTTTAGCTCGGGTCCATCTCACAGCGGGTTCAATGGCCCCAGAACCCATGCTATGGCTATTTCCCCAGTTCTGGAATGCATAATTGGAGACATGCTTAGCACCTGGGAGAATCCTCACATCGATTCCCAACCTACATAGTGAGGACTATTCTGAGGAGAAAGGCCATGTGGAAGCCACTAGTGCCTCTTCTAACGGCCCCCCACCAATGGTAAACCTAGAGCAATACCACATTCCCGGAGGAATGGCAGAGATTGGTGCTGCCGTCAAGGACTTGGAGGGTGCAGAGGTGGCGTTTCCCACCGCATCCCCATTCATCTTTCCCGTTGGCCTGTGCAGAAGACAGATGGAGCTTGGAGAATGAGAGTTAAACATGGTGGTAACTGGGTGGTAACTACAGGCGCAGCTTCTGTACCAGATGTATTTTCATTGTTTGAGCAAATCAGCACATCTCCTGGTACCTGGTAT